CAATCAATCAGAGAAGGAGATTTAAACTATTTCACAAATTATCACACACTACTACAGAAAGTAAGAGTTGGTTGAGGGAGGAGGGGGCTTCATTTTCTATTACATAGAAAGTTATCTGAAGGCAGTTACTACTGAAAGAATTCAAGAGGGGAAACCAAAACACTAACAAAGAAAATCCAGTTTCTGACTCCACTGAAAGATCTCTGAGGAAAAACAAATCTCTAGTCCTATAGTCCATGAGTTTCTGATGTGGGAAACTAATTTTACATGATTTTATACAGAAAGAAAAGCAGCAATTTAATAATCAACTCAAGGAAAAGAATGGCAACAAGATGATTACAATCAAAGCAGAGAGAACTAACTGCAATCTCCAAACAGATTATGGATCCAGAGTTTGGGGACAAGGTCATAATATGGTGACCTGTGAAAGTGAAGCCAGTAAGTATCATCAAATAAAATTAGCTGTGTGCAAAAGTGACCTACCCGAAAAGATGGTTTGTAAGCCTGTTGCTAGTGAGGACACCTCCAAAATCTCATCAGACACTAAAAAACAAATAATCTGAGATAAACTGAGCGCTAATTTATCATATCAATCTATGGCAATGTCATAACAGAAAGATGGAGGTCCCCATGGAGAAAAGATAAGCTGCTGGCAGTGTTTCCCTGCAGGACTGGGCAAAGCTGCACCTGTGAGGCCTACTCTGTGAGCCCTTTTGCTGTGAGGAAAGATGGGTGCATCTAGCTACCTTGTTGAAGAAGGAAGCCTCCAGGGCAGACTCTGCACTTCTGGAATAAAATGGCTTCTCAGTCTCCTACTGAGAATCCACATTCTGGCCAGGCCGCCCCAGTGTCTCATCTACTTTACAATTACACCTGTCCTTGTAAATTAAGAAACTGGTATTCAAATGCATTATTAAGTTTCTGATGACTGTGTTAAGTAGAAGGATCCCCAAAAACCTCTTGATCATGAGCATAGGTAAATTGATTTAAAAACTTCGTGCAGCTCTCCCATCCAGTTTCTGCAACTGCACTGAGGATACCACAAAGGCTCATCTTATTCAGTCACCAATGGCCCTTTTTACTTCCCTTAAGAAGTGAGTAGAGGAGTTGAGGGACTTCCAGCCAAGATGGAGGTGTAGGTAGACACACTGTGCCTCCTCACATGACCAAAAGAAGGACAACAATAATTTAAAAACAAACAACCATAACTGACAGAAAATCGAACTGTATGGAAGTCCAACAATCAAGGAGTTAAAAAAGACATATTCATCCAGACTGGTAGAAGGGGTGGCTGGTAAACCCAATGAGAGGGTGGATTGTGGAGCCGGGCATGCAAGGCTGCAGCTGGCAGACCAGGCAGTCCCACATTCGCACACAGATAAACCAGGCAAAATGGGGGGGCAGGAACTCCCATACTCACAGGAAAATTCACTGGAGAGACCCACAGGGTTCTAGAACATACACAAGTCCACCCACATGAGAATCAGAACCAGAAGGGCCCCATTTGCTTATGGGAAGCACGGGAAGTGACTGAAATCCGGCAGAGAATGGAGCAAACGCCATTGTTCCCTCCCAGACTCCTTCCCCACACACAGTGTCACAACCCAGCGACACGGGTTACCAAGCCCTGGTGAACACATAAGGTTCCACTCCTCACTATATAACAGGCACATCAAGACAAAAAAAAAATGGCCCAAAAGAAAGAACAGATCAAAGCTCCAGAACAAATACAATTAAGTAATGAAGAGATAGCCAACCTAGTAGTTGCAGAGTTCAAAACACTGGTAATCAGGATGCTCACAGAATTGGTTGAATTTGGTAGCAAATTAGAGGAAAAAATGAAGGCTGTGCCAAGTAAAATAAATGAAAATGTACAGGGAATCAATAGTGATGAGAAGGAAACTGGGACTCGAAGGTGCAGTCCAGAAGGCAGAAAGAAACATCCAATCAGAAAAGAATAAAGAAATAAGAATTAAAAAAAAATGAGGAGAGGCTTAGGAACCTCCAGGACATCTTTAAACGTTCCAACAACCAAATTATAGGGGTACCAGAAGGAGAAGAGGAAGAGCAACAAATTGAAAACTTATCTGAAAACATAGTGAAGGAGAACTTCCCTAATCTGTGAAGGAAACAGACTTCCAAGAAGTCCAGGAAGCTCAGAAAGTCCCAAAGAAGTCTGACCCAAGGAGGAACACACCAAGGCACATCATAATTACATTACCCAAGGTTAAAAATAAGGAGAGAATCTTAAAGGCAGCAAGAGAAAAGAACACAGTTACCTACAGAGAAGTTCCCGTAAGACCGTCAGCTGATTTCTCAAAAGAGACCTTACAGACAAGAAGGGGCTGGAAAGAAGTATTCCAAGTCATGAAAGGCAAGGACCTACATCCAAGATTACTCTATCCAGCAAAGCTTTCATTTAGAATGGAAGGGCAGATAAAGTGCTTTCCAGAGAAGGTCAGATTAAAGGAGTTCATCATTACCAAGCCCTTATTATATGAAAAGTTAAAGGGACTTATCTAAGGAAAAGAAGATAAAAATATATGAATGGTAAAATGACAACTAACTCACAACTATGAACTACTGAAACTAAAAAAATAAAAACAAACTAAGCAAACAAGCAGAACAGGAACAGAATCACAGAAATGGAGATCAAATGGAGGGTTATCAGCAGGGGAGTGGAAGGGGAGAGGAAGGAAAAGGTACAGAGAATAAGTAGCATAGATGGTAGGTAGAAAATAGACAGGGGGAGAGTAAGAATAGTGTAGGAAATGTAGAAGCCAAAGAACTTATATGTATGAACCATGGACATGAACTAAGGGAGGGAATGTCGGTGGGAGGGGGTATGCAGGGTAGAGGGGGGTGAAGGGGGGGAAATAGGACAATTGTAATAGCATAATCAATAAAATAAATTTTTTTAAAAAAGGAGTAGAGGAGTTGAGAACACTGGGCTCAGGATGTGGACTGCCTGCTTTGAACAAATCCCTGTTCCATCACTTCCTAACTAAGACTTCTTAACCATCCTGAGATCAGTTTCTCCACCCTGTAAAATAGGGATGAAGAAAGGGTATACCTCGAAGAGTTGCCTGGAGGATAAGAGATCACGCACATGAAGAGCTTGGCAAAATGCTTGGCACCTAGAAAGCACCTGACAAATGGTGGTTCTTTTTTGTTACTACCACTGATTACTATTTTTTATTAACTATAACAACAATGATAAACCATTTTGCTGAATCCACTGACTCCGGTAATATACCAGTAGTTGATCTTCACTAACCGCAGTTTTTCCTCTTTATCCAAAGCTCTGGAGAGCATTTCCCTTTCTTAGAGCACAATGTTAATTCCAATTCAAGATCCCAAACAATTTCTTCACAAGCTATTCAATCAAAGTGCAGAGCTGTTCCACTTTTAACAACCACCACTTTGATCACACAAGCACATCTGTTCAATATCATTTCCAACTTTTGACCAGGCTCGTAAATCATAACAATCGCCTCAAACTTTCCTACCCTTCTTCCTACCAAATGTCTCCTTTCTCTTCCATTATTATAAAATAAGATCTCTCCAACATTATGGCAAGTGTACCAGCTACCAACTCCTGTGTAAGATTTTAACATGCTCCTACAAATGGCATGTAAATAACCAAGAGAGCCATCAGAGAAATGCAAATTAAAAACACATTGAGATGTCACTTCCCAACCTCTAGAATGTTGACAAGAAAGAAAAAGACAGGTAATAAATGTTGGCAAAGATGTAGAGAAATTGGAACTCTCTTACACTGCTGGGAACATAAAATGGTGTAGTACCTTTGGAAATCAGCCTAGAAAGTCCTCAAAAGTTAAACATGGAGTTACCATATGACCCAGCCATCCCAATCCTAGGTAAATATGCAAGAAAACTGAAATCATATGTCCACACAATAACAACATGACTATTCACAGCAGCATATTCCTAACAGCCAGTAAGTAGTGGCAACCACAATATCCATAGATAAACAAAATGTGGTACATCCACACAATGCAACATCTTTGGGCAATAAAATGAAGTACTGATTCATGCTATAATATGCATGAGCCTTGAAAACATTACACTAAGTGAGAGAAGACAGATACAAAAGCCACATATTGTATGATTCCATTTCTATACTCAGAACAGGCAAATTTAAAGAGACAGAAACTGGTGGTTGCCAGGGGTTTGGAGGGATTAGGAGGTAATGAGAAGTGACTATTAATGGACATGAAGTTTCTTTTGGGGGTGATAAAAATGTTCATCAAATTGACTATGGTGATGAATATATTAAAATGTACACATGAAATAGGTGAATTGTATGGTATGTAAATTTTATCTTCATAAGGTTGTTATACAATAAGTAAAAGATAAATGTTCTCTGAACAAATGACCTGGAGAGAAGAGTGGAGTCCGTGGGTCAGTGAGAAGCATAGCAGCAAGTCAGCCAACTCATGAAAATGGGCTGAAGTAATCCCTCAAAACCACGGACTGCAAATCTATATTTAAAAGCCACTCAAATCAAACATCTATTAGCTTTTCATGTGACTCCAAAATATTTTCATGACCCCAGTTACAGACCACATAAAACAGTATCTTACAAATTTATATCTAATGTTTTTGAGTTTTGGGTTGGTTTTTTTTGTAGTCTGGATAACTCCTATATCAGATCTTGTACTATATAAGCTACAGAGTTAGTCATACCTATTAAATTTAATTAATTTATTTATTTGATTAATGTTTATCATATGCCTACTATGTGCCAGGTATTTTCCTGGGTGTCAGTGACGCAAAGAGACTGAAATGCAAGCCCTTGTCTTGAGGAGCTCACTGCAGAGTGAGCTAAGACTTATAATGCAGAATTAGGAGAACAGGTGTGTGGATGCTAATGAATAAGCAGCTAATAAATGTGTTTCAATGCAGATGATACAAAATATTTACAGTGCAGTAAACATTAATGCTGTAGTGACCTGTCCTCCTGAGAAGTGGCCTACCTGTTGACATGCTCCTCCCAGTCCTCTGGTGGGGGAGGGGCATCTGCATCAGTCCTGGCAAAGATGACATGTCTTTCACACTCATTCATCACACTGCGTGCCTTCTGATTGTCGTAGAGTGGCACAGGGGTTGATGTGACTGTCTCCACATCTATTGGAACATCTGATTCACTGTAAATGGGTGAGAAGATAGGACCAGGACACATGTACTTTACACAACACAGGTGTTAAACAATCATCTAGTTGCCAAAAATGCCTCTTTAATATAACCAGCTTTAAAGTATTCACAAGCACATTAAATTCACAATAAAATTATGATCTAAAATCATCTTTCCAACACTTGTTGAGACCTCTGCCCTCTGACACACTCTTATATGCTAGGGGACACAAAGTCATTTTGGAATGACTGTATGCAAAAAATGAAAAATGGCTTATTTTTTAAAAAGACAAATATATTCCACAAGCAAATAGTTGGTTGCCTATCTGTAATTTCCAATACAAAAGTGATAGGTCACATGAAATTATTTACATTAAGAAGAATTAGAATTAAAAATTCAGTTCTTCAGTCACACTAGCCACATTTCAAGTGCACAACAGACACATGTGACTGGTGGCTACCATACTGGATGCACAGGTATAGAGCATTTCTGTCACTGCAGAGAGTTCTGTCGGACAGTACTGATCCTGAGTTTTAACTATTCATACAAACCTTCCCTGTCACTAGCAAGTCAACTAGTAGTCAATTAAAGCTTCTGATTATCTAAAATGGATTGCATGGAATGTAGACACCTTAGCTATTTAACTCACTGTGAAAAGAACCTAGAACAGGAACAAATAGAAATGGACATCTGAAGAATCTTTCGTATTTTAAAGTGTTAAGAAAATCCTAGTGCCATAAGGATACTGCACCAACTGTCACCCCAAATACTATGATAATCAAACTGGTCTACTGGTTGTCTACCAAACATCACTTTAACTTTCTGACCTCAGTGATTTTATTGCAACCATTCCCAATGTCTGGAATAATAAGATCATTCTGAAATGTAGTGAAATCATATGTAGCTAGATTGGGTGGTGAGTGAAAGTGCTGATTATCTTCTCTGGACCAGACACTGGGTGAGGCACTTAACCTGTGTACCTAAAAGAGAAGTCTTGATTTCATCATTCTAACATATCCTCCCCAAGTCTTCCCTAACTCACAGCACCAACCAGCTGCTCAAGCCAGAAATCTAAGGAGTCATCCTAGTTTCACCTATCCCTTACTCCCGGGCCCTTTCTAATTCACTGCAGCAGGTCCTGTTGACTCTACCTACAAAATATATCTTGAGGCCATACATTTTTCTCCATTTGTACCACTCCCATCCCTATGCAAGTTATCGTCATCTCTGACCTCCACAACAACATGGCCCCTAGCAGATCTTCTCTATTCCACTCCTGTACTATAATCTATTCAACAAAAATTCAAAATGACCTTTTAAAAATATAAATCCAATCTCTAGCTTAAAATCTTTCAATGATTTTTCATAACTCAGAATCAAATTCTTCTATGAAGCCTCACCCACTTCTCTCCTAGCTCCCACTTACATCCCCATCACAACCACAGTCCAGACACAATAGACTAAAATAAGTTCATAGAACACGCCAAACTCCCACTTTGGCTTATAAACCGTCCCACAAATGGAGATGGTTTATAAGAGGAAATAATTTCCTAAGGACTGTCTACAGAATCTCACATTTAAAAAATGTGAGATACAAACACAGGAGTTTCAATATTAGCAAGAAGCTATTACATAGCTAGAGAAAAAGATCTCAAATTCTATATTTAAGGAGCTCATCAGTTATGCCCTAGGCCAGAGGCATCAAGATTATGTTGGATAATTCCCTAAAGTCAGAGATCCTGTGCCCTGTACAAACAAAAAAAGACAACAAAATGCTGTCCTCCTTAGGAAATGAAATAAAAACCACTATTCTGTATGTTTTTAAAATAATGTATATCACGGTACCTCTAGTTCATTAAGGGGGATCTAAGAAACAAAACATAAGATCTCAATTACTCAACAAACCTATAACCCATGCTAGAGGAAATATTAAACATTAGGTCATATTAAAACAAACAAACAAAAAGCCTCCTCCCCAAAGCAGTTTATTAAGTTACCTAAGGGTTTGATTTGGTCATCAAAATAGAATATATCAACAAATCTTGAAATATAAGTAATTATAACACCTTAAAGCTTGAAAGAATTGCTCAACAGTTTTACTTAAGTCAAATGTAATTGTATCACCTATTACATACTAAATTTATTTTTTTAAATCCTTACCCTATAATGTAGACTGGCTGAAAATATGATCAGACCTAAGAAGGATTTAGATCACCCATGGGTGAGTTCTGAAACAAGCTAAGGCAGAAGGAAAGAAAGGTCTTGTGGATATGCTCCTGAGTTTTGCAGGTAAAGCCAGTAAAAGGTTATTGTTGCCAGTGTTTGGGCAAGCCAGAACACTAGACTAAAGGAAAGAGTCTAAACCTGTGTGGCAGTTTTTAAGTCAACTCTTCAGTCTTTTTCTTCACCAGTTAAATAATCCTCTTCCATTTCCTCTTTCCATACAAGTCCTGTTACCTATATGGAATAGTTTGTTTGGTTTCTTTTGAACATCCTTCCTTTCCTAACTTGTCAGATGTCTTGAATGTTGATGTCCATATAGACCTGATATCCTCACACTGCTTACCAGAGATGCCCGAAGTAAACATCCAAGCCACCCACCCCCACACAATCCTCCATAGTCATCTGGAATCCCCACCATGTAATCACTGCATGGTTAGGGCAACCACAGCCCTTAGGAACGGAGCCCAAACTCACATGGTACTTTCATGCTGCCTTCGGGGAGTAACAAAGAGCATGCGGGTGGGTCGGGCGCTACTGGCATCTGGGTGGGCACTCCATGGCTTGGCATAGCTATGGTCCAGAAAAACCAGATCCAGCTCCCGTTCATGCACTGAAAGCTGAAAGAGTAGTGAGGTGCCCATGCGCCGTGCTGAAGTCTGGAAGTCCCTCTCCACACCCCGGTGGGCCATGTCACTGGTGGGGCAGCAAGTCAGAGAACAGGTGTCTGCATGCTAGTTACCTGCAGTGGAAAGTTTTCAATTCAAATATTCTAAATTTCTTCCAACGTGAAACATCTCATATACTTCTCACTTTTGTGATCTTTCTATTATTCACAATTGAAACTCCATTTCACTGCACAACCTCATCCACCGCAGGGAGGGTTCCTGAAATCTCATCACCCTCCAAAAAGGCTCTAGCACCATGACTTCTTTCATACTCAATCTCTACAAAATTCGTTCATCGGAGAGCTGAATGACTCCCCTGGCCGCAAAGGCCTCCCTCAGACGAATACTAACTTGCTTGGCCGGCGCCTCGATTTCCTACGTGGGCCAGAAGGCTTTTGGCGATCACAAGTTTTAATTCTTCTCAAGCTAAGTAAGGATCTCTACTGCTGCTCACCATTCCCTGAAACACTGTAGCGGCAGGGCAACGTAGGCCTCTAGGAGGCCCTTTAAGTCTCTAGTTTGATGTTAAATGAAAGTTTTGCACCGACTTCCTAACAGTCTGCAGTTTTCAAACATACAAATGAGGGCCCTTCTCCAACCGGTAACAAAACACCACCCCAGGAGGACATCCTTCCTTACACGGAGTGGGCGGTCCCCACAAACCGCCGGGGACTCCCACCACCCCTGAGGGTCTCACAGCCGGACCACCAATCGGCCCCATCCAGAAGGCGGGGCTTATCGTTCGCACTTTACAGAAGGCTCCAGTTCGAGGATGGGGAAGGGATGAAGCGACTAGGCTAAGGCCTCCAAGAGTTCGCAACCAAGAGGCCCAGCCTCATACCCGCCACCCGCCGCCCGCCGGTCCGCGGCCCAACACGTCCGGGGCGGCCAAAACTCCAGCCCCTAGTCCCTGGATGCCGGTGAGCCCGGAGGCCCTCGCTAAGCATGCCCCCAACCCGTCCCAGCCCCGGGCCGCTACCCCCACGGTCCGCTACCCCAGAGGGCCTACTCTCCCTTACCCACAATCCGCTGGCCGCGCGCTCTGCCCGGACGGCCTCCCAGGGCGCGTGCGCGTTAACGCCCCCAGGTCCGCCTCTCAGGGCTCCAAACAAAATGCGGAAGCGGTCAACAGCCTGGGAAGGAAGGGGTGGGAAGCGATAAAACCCGGAGTGGATTACCCTGCGCCACAGAGGCGGAAGCGGAGTGTCGGAAATGCGTGGATCTTGGAGGCAGTTGAGTGCTGAGTCTGGGATCCCCCTCCTGCATTTTCAGCGGGAGTACGAGGGCCAAGGAGGACTCTGGCTCCTGCAGCGCCCGTCTTGCTGTCCGCATCCCTTTCGTTGTTCCTTCTCCCTCCACCTCTGCCAGAACCCTGAATGGGCTCGTCGGGAATTTTACTCCTAAGAAATAACACGATAAAAATAAATCGAAAAAGTTCTTGTGAGCCTGAAACTGCTCTAAAAAAATAGTCTATTAAAAATAAAAGGCCCTAACTGGTGTGGCTCAGTTGGTTGGGCACCGTCCCACAAATCAAAAGGTCACCGGTTTGATTCCTGGTCAGGGTACATGCCTGGGGATACTGGTTTGGCCTGGTGGAGGCACATAAGAGAAGCAACAGATAGATTTTTCTCTCCTCTTTTACCCTTCCTTCCCCTCACTCTAAAAAGTAAATAAATACAATATTTTAAAAAATAAAGAAAAGAAACACCTATCTAGAGTACTGTTGAAACAGCATAATAACGATTCCTGGAAAGGACACAAATAGACTTCAATGGTAATTACCATAAGGGACCTTAGAATGTGACAGAAGTAGAAACATTTCCTGATGAAGGGATTGGGGATGTCATGAAAAGGAAGTCACTGGAGGCTGGGCTCGGTAGGACCAGGCCATTGCAGAGGGACTGGGAAGGTTGTTGAGGCCCGTGTAGAATTACCAATGGGCCAAATACTACCCAACCCCGTGTCTTTGGCCTTCATATTACTTTCTTAAAATTATTTATCTACAAACATTTTAAATTTTGGAGGTTTCATGTAAACATCCAAACTTCCAATTCTCTTGAAAAATTGGAGTCTATGGCAGCACTGGACTCACCTTCTGGTTTGGCAGGCATGGGGACTGCATATGACTTCCCTCCGGGCAGCCTCACTGGGCTTTGTGGCCCCTGGGGGATTCTATTTATCACCCACTCCTGCACACATACACACTCTCACTCAACATCCCTGGGCTAGAATTAAATGCAGATGTCCCTGGGATGGCAAACACCATCAGCAGTTAAGTGCATCATTTTAGGGTGATTAGTGGATTGATTCATTTTGGTCACCCAACTAGGGCAGGAGTGAAACTCATGACTTGTAATGCTGATGGAGCTAGGGTGAAGAAACTAGCCCAAAGGAAGAGACACAGTGCCCTAGACAGCCTGTGCAATGCCACCAGGAGTCCTGAGTGTCTGGAGGAAAGATGAGAGGTGAGAGTCAGGTTAGGAAGTATAGAGAAAGGAGGCAAATTGTCACTTTACAACTCTAGACTATTTCCAACATGACAGAAAGTCTTATATATAGCAGGAGTGTTAAAACTGTAGTGCTTGTCCTGAAGTTTTTCTTTACCTATGCCCATGGCAGACATGATTAATTAATAACAGCCCACTTTCCCTCTGAACCCACATGCAACTTCACAATCATTTACTCCATCCAAGATATCCAATAGATTAGAGTTAGCCATCTCTTCTCTATATCACCTCTCTTTACTCTGATATCCTGCAAGATACATTTGGCCTTCATTTATTCACAATATTTATTTTTTAGTATATTTTATTGTTATGCTATTACAGTTGTCCCAATTTTTTTTCTCTCCTTTATTCCCCTCTGCCCTGTACTCCCCCTACCACCAGAATTCACCCACCCTAGTTCATGTCCATGGGCCATGCATATAAGTTCTTTGGCTTCTACATTTCCTATACTATTCTTAACCTCCCTTGTCTATTTTGTACCTACCAATTATGTTCCTTATTCCCTGTGCCTTTTCCCCCATTCTCCCCCTTCCCTTTCCCCACTGATAACCTTCCATGTGATCTCTATTTCTGTAATTCTGTTCCTGTTCTAGTTGTTTGCTTAGTTTATTTTTGTTTAGGGGTTTTTTGTTTTTTTTTTTAGGTTCTGTTGTTGATAGTTGTGATTTCATGGGTGTTTTACTCTTCATAGTTTTGATCATCTTTTTCTTAGATAAATTACTTTAACATTTCTTATAATAAGGGCTTGGAGATAGTGAACTCCTTTAACTTGACCTTTTCTGGGAAACACTTTATCTGCCCTTCCATTCCAAATAATAGCTTTGCTGAATAGAGTCATCTTAGGGGTAGGTCCTTGCCATTCATGATTTGGAATAGTTCTTTCCAGCCCCTCCTTGCCTGTAAGGTCTCTTTTGAGAAATCAGCTGACAGTCTGATGGGAACTCCTTTGTAGATAACTTCTGCTCTTCTCTTGCTGCTTTTAAGATTCTCTCTTTATCTTTAATCTCGGGTAACTTAATGATGATGTGCCTTGGTGTGTGCCTCCTTGGGTCCAACTTCTTTGGGACTCTCTGAGCTTCCTGGACTTCCTGGAAGTCTATTTCCTTTTCCAGATTGGGGAAGTTCTCCATTATTTGTTCAACTAAGTTTTTAATTTCTTGCTTTTCCTCTTCTCCTTCTGGCACCCCTATCATTCAGATGCTGGAACATTTAAAGTTGTCCCAGAGGTTCCTAAGCCTCTCCTCATTTTTTTTTCGGCATTCTCGTTTCTTCATTCTGTCCTGGTTGAATGTTTATTTCTTCCTTTTGTTTCAAATTGTTGATTAGAGTTCCAGTTTCCTTCCCTTCACTCTTGGTTCCTTGTATATTTTTCTTTATTTCACTTTGCATAGCCTTCACTTCATTCTCTATTTTGCAACCATACTCAATCATTTCTGTGAGCATCCTGATTACCAGTGTTTTGAACTCTGCATCTGATAGGTTGGCTATTTCCTCATCTCTTAGTTGTTTTTCTAGCTTTTCCATCTGTTCTTTCATTTGAGCCATATTTCTTTGTCTTGGTTCATCTGTTACATTATAAGAGAGGAGCCTTAGGTATTCACCAGGGCAGGGAAACCCACATTGCTGCATAGTGGCGCTGTATGTGGGGGCAGGGTCTGAGAGGGAACACCACTTACTCGGCTCTCTCCAGCTTTCAGTCACTTCCCCACTACCAACAAGCAAATTGGGCCCTTCTGGTGCTGATTCCCGAGTGGGTGGATGTGTTGCTACCCTTCAAGGCCAGGCAGGTTCATGGCATTCATGCAGATGGAAAAATATTCACAGAGCCATCAGGATGTCTGGCATGCCTTTATTCATGGATGGACAAGCCACACACACTGGAAGCTGCGTGTCTATTTGCATGGCTCATCCCATGGCCCCTGTCCCCAGCGTGGCATCCATCGTGGCACCTGTAGCCTTGTGTGTCTCTCATCATCATCGCCCCCAGTAGGGAGTCCCTACCTTTTTAAGTACTAGGGGAGAGCAAAGCCAGAAAACTGCCAGAACATTACATAACATAATTCTGTACATGCGAGCTCACTTCACGTTATGGAAACAGTTTATCAGGGCCAGGTCTCAAGGTTATGAGAACACTAGTTATCAGGTCCCTCCAAGGTTATGAGAACACTGCTCCCCTTAGTTACCCAGACACCTGGATTAGGAAGTCAGACTGCCTCCATTTACCCTGCAATGGGTTTGTGTACATTTTAGGACCCTGTGGGTCTCTCCAACAAACTCTCCTGTAGGGCGGGAGTTTCTCCCACTCCTGTAACTCCCACAGGTTTTTAATAGCCACAGGTTTTGAGGCTTTACTTCCCCATGCTAGAACCCCGGGTTTCATAGTCTGTTTCCCTCCCCAGTTGTTCCTCCCTGTTTTTCCACACATGTGTGGGACCACCTACTCTGCCAGCCACCCCAGTCCTCCAGCCACCGCCTTGCTGCTCCTCCTTTCTGCCCTGGCTACTGTCTTGCCCCTCTTACTAGTCTGCATGAATGTTTCTTCTTTAACTCTTTGGTTGTCAGACTTCCATACAGTTCAATTTTCTGGAAGTTCTGGTTGTTTTTGTTTTTAAATTTGTTGTTTTCCTTCTTTTGGTACTGCAAGAAGGCAAAGTGTATCTACCTACGCCTCTATCTTGGTGGAAGTCTATTCACAAATATTTCTTAAATTCCTACTATGTGATAAATACTGTGCTAGGTGCTGAGGGTATAGCACTGACAAAGCATACTTCTTTATAATCTACATAAATAATTGTTTAACTTATAATTGTGATAGTAAGGTCTAATATTTAGAGAACACCAAATAAGGTCTAAATGACATAAATTATTTACTTCATTTAACCCTTTCAACTACTAGGTTCTATTATAGTCATGTCCAGAGATGTAAAGTATCTTGCCCAAGGTCACACAGCTAATTTATATCAAAGGCAGAACTGGTATCCAGGCAATGTGGCTCCAGAACCTGGGCATTTAATCCCTTGCAACTCCAATTGCAATAAGGAAAAGTGCAAGGTGGTGAATGTGAGTAGAATAGTAACCCAGCCATGGCTTACATGGTGGGGAAGGTGTACTTGTGAAGGTGACATTGAAGCTGAAACCAAAAGAGGAGTATGAAGTAACACAGTAGAAAGTGGGAGAGAAGCTCTTCAGGAGAAGAAATGACAAAGGCAAAGGCTCTGAGGTAGAAAGGAGCTTGATAACATCAAAAAAGAGGGGGTGAGAAAAGTGTAGCTAGGTAGCAGTGGTCAGTGAATGGAATAGTGGAGAAAGATGAAGTTGGAGAGACAGACTTAGGACAGAGCCTGCAGGGCCCTGGATGTCCCAGAAAGAATTTTGGTACTGGCCCTGGCTGGGTAGCTCAGTTGGTTAGAGCACATCCTGATACCATAAAGCTGTGGGTTTGATCCCCAGTCAGGGCACATAAAATAATCAACCAATGAATGCACAAATAAGTGGAACAACA